CTAGACGATAGAGGGCATTGTTTATTATTAAGTTATTTACAATAGTAATGATAAAGAAACAACAGCATAAAATTCTCTATAATCCGCTCCGCTCAGCTTGTGTCTACCCGCTCACACTAAGCCCACACAATACCAATGAAACCCGTGACGTGTGAACCATCAACCAGGCATATCGAAGCTCACACCTGCCCACAGTCCACACATGTGAACAAAACCAACTTATTTACATATATTACCGTACCCACTATTGTCGCGTTCACGTAAAATTTTAAGATCTTCGCGCTTGTCACTCTGGCAGCCTTCAGTTGGACGGCATTCTTGAAATGTTTTTGTTTATTGTAGTCTACCTCTTGGAGCCGCTTTGACTGAGCTAGGGTTATCACCCGTATAATATCTAGTGCGATATGTTTATCACTATATTTTCGCCAATTGCACTATATCCTATCTTATATATAAAATTCTCGTGTCACAGTTTTCGTTCCCATACTCCTCCGAAACGGCTTGACCGATTCTCATGAAATTTTGTGAGCGTATTGAGTAGGTCTGAGAATCGGCCAACATCTATTTTTCATCCCCCTAAATGTTAGGGGTAGTCCACGCCTAATTTTTTTTTTATTTTAAGGCAAAACAACGTTTGTTGGGACAGCTAGTATACATATAAAATTCTCGTGTTACAGGTTTCGTGTTTATACTCCTCCGAAACGACTTGACCGATTTTGTTGAAATTTTATATGTATACTAACTTTTGCCCGCGGCTTCGCTCGCGTTTATTTATCCCCTTAGCAGTGGAATTTATCAAAATCCTTTCTTAGGAAATGCCTACGTCATAGTAGCTTTATGCATGCAAAGTCTCAGCCCGATCGGTTTAAAATTGACAAAGTTTCATCCCCAATTTTATCCCTTTGGAGGTAGAATTAATCAAAATCTTTTCTTAGCGGTTGCCTACGTCATAACATCTACTTGCATGCCAAATTTCAGCCCGATCCGTCTAGTGGTTTAGGCTGTGCGTTGATAGATCACTACGTCAGTCACCTTTTAGTTATATCACAGATAACATATATATATTTAGATTCAGTAGGAGCCTGAGAATAGGTTTATAATAAATTATTGATTTTAATTTTTTTTTTACTATACCTGTAGTTTTATTTTATTTTTGTATTATGTAAAAATACATACTCCCCTAAATTTTCACCCTTCTATCACCAATCCCTATATTTTAATAGTGATATTAATTTATACGGCAAAATAACGTTTGCGGGTCAGCTAGTTTTCCATATAAAATTTCTGTGTCACAGTGTTAGTTGCCATACTTCTCCGAAATGGTTGAACCGATTTTGATGAAATTTTATATGCATAAATAGATAGGTCTGAGAATAGTTTGCAATTTATTCTTTATAAGGTATAAACAATAAATAACATAAAAATAATAATAAGTGATACCACATACCATATAGTCCACCACAAGTTTTTATTTAATATATTAGATAAAATTACTTTTTTTTATATAAAGTGGCATAAAGAATATGCAATGCAATATATAGCATACACATGATCATGATCCTAAATTTACATACTTCTACCATCTACCCCTATTTTTTATAGTAATATTATTAAATCAAATAAAAAACAATGGTTTCAATATCGTATCAAAATACGTATAGTATACGTTTACATACTCGTAGTATAAAATGAAGTCGCTTCCGACCTCCCTACGGTCCCTCCTCCCCACCCGTTCCACCCCGACCACACTTTTACACACACACACGACACCGTCCTCGCCGGCAGAGACGACGACCTCACCCACACAATATCGCTCATTCAACCGGGCGCTCTACACCGGTCGATCCCCCGTTCAATTCAATCGGGGATCGATATTACGATGGCCTGAGCCGAGGCTCGATACCCTATTGGTGCCCTCAGACTAAAGTCGTGTCCGTCAGCAGGAGTTGGCCTTCAGCCGCTCCATAAGTCCTTCCGCGGGTTTGGAGTGTCACCTGCACTCGCCCCCTAATGTCCGGTGAAGCTGTAAAGGCCAGCTGCGGCCAACAGCATTAGAGTTGTCCAAAAAAAATAACTGTCTGTTCGCTTAGATCTTTTAAACTACGCAACGGATCCCAATAGTTTTTAGCAGTAGATAGAGTTATTCAAGAGGAAGGTTTGTATCTATAATATATGTACACACGTCGAAACCGTAACGGGTAGGTAGTGGAAAATAAAATATATAACATTCAAAGAATGTGTACTATTTTTGTTTCCAAAAACCAAAGTACTTTTATTCTTACTAAAATAAAATCTAGTAACAATAAAATCACTATGTTTTTTTAAATGCGGCAACCCTATTGGTAACAAAAAATAATGTTATTTTTTATCTATTCTATGTATAGTACTTGGCATAAATAATTTCATGCCAAAAAAAGTGTTTTCTTCCGTTCTATTCTCGGTGCTTTGTTCGGAAATACTTTCTACATTCCGGTTGCTTTGAAAACTTTATTCTTATGTATATCTAAGTTATATTTTATTTTTATATCGTGTGAATTCATAAGAATTCTATTTTAACTTATATATAGCTTTGCGATATGATTCGTAGTTTCTTTCCTTTATAGACGACCTCGGTGGACGAGCGGTTTAGCACGCCGTTTTATTTTCAATAGTCGCTTGTTCCATTTCTCACACGGCATCAGCATTTGTATTCATGATTATGATTGTTTGTATCGGTCTGGGTATTTTCTGTATATAGTAAGTATGTATTTACGAAATAAAATATATTCCTTGAATCAGTTGTCTAGTACCCATAACACAAGCTTTAGCTAGCTTAACTCGAGTCTATATGACGCTATGTGAATTGTCTTGAGATTATTATTATTATTATTGAAATTGTTCGTGTTCCTTTTGGAAACTATCGTGATAAATCCTTGGTGAATTTGTCACGATGAGCTAACTGACCTGATCTCATGTTGATCTTATCATCCTCCACTGGTGCCCCACCAGCGTAAACTGTTAGCGCAGGCGGGAGCACCATTTCATTATCATCCTTAAAGAAATACCTATTCCTAGTTTTGGTACATAAATCTTATTCTATTTACCCAAATTTGAATATAAAAATGAATCTGTATTGTTGTAAACATCTACAATATTTATTGGAAAAGAATACGAGCTGAGTTTTTCGAAATCATTCCGAAGTGTAGATTTGACGTATCATAAGAGTCTACATGAATAAAATTACTTTGAACTTGAAATTAAACTTAATAAATATTTTTCAATTTAGTCCTCTTAGAATGGTAACGCATTGGTTTATAAACGGGGGTCATACGATGACATGATCATCATGTATGTAGGCGAGTCACCACTTACCATCGAGTGGTTTGCCATTTAAATTATACAAAAACAACCATATAAGTATAGCGATAGTTGAAATGCGGCGTGAATATTTACGAAGTAATATGAGAGATATTTGTAGAAAGAACACTTGTACAACTTTGTAAATATTTGTGTAATAGCGGAAATCGAATCCGCGACTCACTGTCGACGCAATTTATAAATTGCATACGAATGGAAGATTTCCATTAGTAATATTCTTTTACCTACATACACTAGTATTTATATCCGACATTATACATGATACGTATGTACCATCGTCTCTCGGTTTATTTTTTATTTGTTATCGGTGTTTTCTATTACTGAAGAGTTAGTCAAAAAATTTTTACGTCATAATGATTGGTGAAAAGAGGGTCGCGGGTTCGATTCCTCGCACGGTACAAATATTGATATTTATGACTATGATTGTTTGTATTGGTCTGAGTGTTTCTTATGCATATTATGTATGAATTTACAAAAACATGTACAATTGTATTCTATCAGTAGTCTAGTACCCATAACACAAGCTTTTCTTAGCTTAGGACTAGATGATACTGTGTGATTAGTCCTAAGTATTATTTTTATTATTTATTGAGTAAAAAATATGTTAATAAAATATTCCTCAATTAGAAAATACGAACCTACATAGACAAGATGGAAATGATTAAAACAAACAAATTCACAGTTAAACATAATTTATTTCATATTATTTTAAGTATCACAGATTCATTTATTTTAATAATCATCACGTTAACAAAAATATATATATTCTACGGTGGCGGTGTATAATCATTTACAAAAACATGGTTACACATCAAACTACATGTAGTAGAAGTATATATATACAGCACTCTATATACAGAAATGTCAAGATGATGCAGGATTAAGTGTACCACTTCAAAACGACACGTAACCACGGGTGGTCGTGGATAAATATGTTAATCTTGATAAACCAGTAATACTTTAGCTTACACAGATTATACAGCGTGTTAATACTAACACACAAAAGCTTCCTTGCGTAAAGTTTGCTCACGGAGCACGTGTGGCAAGATTGGGTGTTACGCAAAACGAAAACTTGTACAAAGTAGATTGGGTTTTACGCAAAGTGAAAAGTTGCACGAATTGAATTCTTCGAAGTGGAGATACATTAGAAAATAAAAATTATGAATTCATTCACTGAAAATTTACAAATTTGTAAATTAAATTGAAGTGTCTGTTTGGAATATTGAAATAACCGTTTTTTACAACATGCATACGAATATAAATACGGTACATACACTAAAACATCATCTTTTACTATTTTTGTCTGTCTGTCTGTCTGTTTGTTCCCTTTAATCTCTGAACTGGCTAGACCAATTTTGACGGGACTTTTATTAGCAGGTCGTGACTTTTATTGGCAGGTAGCTGATGTTATAAGGCAAGTTACTCCTTCTACCATCAGCTACCTGCCAATAATGTCTTAGAAAAATAAAGTGGTCCTTCGTCCTTCGTGGACGTTCCACGTACAGCTTGTATGAATTATAAATGGTGATCTAAATACAAAAATACATCGTTTTCGTTTTATCTCACTGTCTTATTAAGTTACTGAAGTAAACATACAAAACAAATTTGAATTGTAATGAGTAAAATATGTTGTTAATACTACAAAGCTAAAATAACATAATGGAGTTTTAGGAAAATTATTAGATAGTAAGTATCTTAGAGATGGTATCAAAATAAATGTTGTCTCTCATAGATAACTCTTGGAGAAGATATTACGTTATCACCTAAGATTAATCATGTGTTTTGAAGTGATTCACGACTACAGGCTTATTAGTGATCAGTAAATGCAGTGGATTAAGTCTTTCTAAGTGTTAGGCATCACCATTTTCAATTACAACTTCTGACTAAAGAATAATTGAAATTACCATATAATTGAGTTTTATCAACGAACAGTCATAATACCATAATAACATTTAATAGTTCTAGAAGAGTCTGTTATAATTGAAATGGTTATGCCTATTTTGCATTAAACAATAAAAAAGACATACTATTATAATAAGAATACGAGTAAGCTCTGACAAGTTGAATACCTATAAGACTTTTAAGATTATTGCCAAATAATACAGTGGCATCAGAGATTTGGCACGAGTTTGAAATTACAAACAAAGCAGTACATTCAAAAGTAAAACAGGCAACCAAACGAGAAGTTATGCAATAAATTTTCGCCGTTCCAATGAACACTCAAACATTTATAAAAATTAACAAAATAATCAACCGTAACCAACACAATGTCGGTAGTGTTTCTTTAAAAGACGTTGTAGGCACTATTATTGCTACTATAATATAATTTATTTCCCATCGCTTATCTACAGCATATAGATAATAATATTCTATACAAAATATACTACGACGATTTTACAAACTTAGGCCGTTGGCCTACGAAACTATACTTTCTCTAACGTAACATTTAAACTACACATTATTTTACCAACAAATCATTCATATAAATCCATCATAATTTATACGCCTATACCTTTCACATCCATTTTAATTTACAATTCCAAATAGAAAATTATCGAGTATCCGACTCGACGCGTGAATCGCTAATTAAAGTCAAGATCTGACTTGTCGATGATTCATAACCAAGATGGCCGTCCTTGTAGTAAGTCGGCGGCGTCGTGTCGATCCATTTGCCTAAGAGCTCCAGCTAGACTAGCCGTAGCACCTGGACTACGTTCTCTGCATTCCCACAATTCTAAGATAGCTTCAGTAGGTGAGCTTTTTGTGGCAAACCATGTTGTATAACGATCAACGCCAAGTCTTGCCGCTAGCGCGCGCCAGTCGTTACCGCGTGCATTCGGTGGATCCAATATGGCACACAGCTGCCGTTTTATTCGTGCATTTAATTTAAATGGTCCTTCGCCCGCACATTCGTTGACTCCCGCTTCGCTCACGGTTACGTTACGTTTACCGTTGTCACTCCCCTCCTCGCTCCGGCACATTCTAGCCTCTAAGAGATTCTCGGTTATATTGAAACTACGTTGTGATTCGGCCCGGGGGGAACGACCCCTTGGAGATCGACTTCGTATATCCTCGAGAGATATTCGGAATGTCTGTTTGTAGGATGGATTGGTCCTTTGACATGCGGATATATTAAAGTCAATATTGTCACAATCATGTGTCCTTTCTAGTACAAAACTGCAATGTAAAGCATTGTAGTTTGAAGTCCAAACGTGGTTGAATGGTATTTCTTGATACCCTATACCCGGTTTGGCTTTCCAACCAGGACTCACGTGCTCCAAGTTTAAACATAAATTAGAACCACCGTCTTGGAATAACAAAGTCTTTGCACGCTCAAGTAAAACTCCACCCAGCTTCTTCTCTTGCTCCTGACAATAGTATGTTGCACATGGCGTATCTTCGAATACATATAATCTAATACTATACTCTGTACATGCTTCATTAATAGACGCCGGGGCGTATATAGCTAACTGTAAAGCTTTAACTGCCTTACCATTGAAACTTTCACCTACCAATACAAACGTAGATAGCATATCTGTTACAAGATATATTTTGTCGTTGTCAAGTTGCGTGAATACTGGAGTATTAATAGTTTCTTGGCCAAGACCAACCACTTTTCTCCACTGTGGCTGATTATTATCAGCTTTTGCGTTATTATGATCAATAGCGTATAGCGAGAGATTCCAGAACCCGTGTTTGAGGCTAGCGCAGTGAGGGATCTGCAGAATCACTGACTTGTTTAATTGCAGACGCGGAGGTCCACATTTAACTACCGGACTCAGTTGTGTTACACCTGCGGGGCAAAAATTATTCTTAATATAGCATGTCCGAGTACGAGATACATGCGATGTGTTAGCCTAAGGGTATATCGTGTTTTTCTTGACATAATTACACCTCGCTGATATTTGATAGCGTATTAAAATAAATTAGATCTGTTTATATCTTTACGGAGTTTATCGCTGAATGATATTTATGGGTCCTGCGCTTGAAACTTGTTCTAAATAAATAGCATGTCTAAATTCTGCCTTATAATTTATTTAATTATATTTCTGAGATAGTTTTAATCATGGTTTAATGTTATCAATATTTATTTACCATGTTGTAAAATAGATAATTGCTATCTCTATGATAAATAACAACTGAGGTTTACAAGAATAAAAAAATCATTACTTATTATAATTAATAGCATTTCTCCTAGATGAATTATAGATAACCAACGGTAGTAAACCAAATACTTTATCTGTTCACATACCTTTCCCTAGTCTGGGTCGGTACCGGTCATCCTTCACGACGGCTACATACATCTGTTCTCTTCTACCCCTACTCAAGGAGCCTTCAGGTACTGATAAAGCCACCCCAGCAGCCGGTAACGCTAATCTTGCACCAGCATTTGATACTGACAGCGATTGTGATGTTGGCGAATTTGAAACTAGTTCCGCTAGTTGGAGAGTTACAGATTCGTTTGCAGCATCATACATGGAGCCCGCTGAAAAAAAAGGATCTCAGAATATTTTTGCATTTAGGACTAAGTATTTACGTACTAAATAGAGAGAGAGAGAGAGTTTAAATTAAATATTGAAGTAAAAGATACATCAAGACATCAAAATTACTTCTAATGTAAATTTGATGATTTTGTTAATAACTAAAGTAGGCAGGCATTAGGTAGTAGATGTATGATGTTTTTCATACCACTATTATAAAATGGAAAGATTAGATTTTTTGTATATATATAAATTTAAAAATGTGTTCACCTAAATAATACATTATAAGCAAGATATATAACGAAAAGTGCAAGATATGTTTTTGACAGAGGTTTTGGTGTATTCATATATTAATTTTACAATCTTTGACGTCCTAAAATAATAGTGACATTAATTATTATATTAAGTCTATCGACATATCTAATGGGAAAATTCAAATTATCAATAAATACCCTTGAACCAAAGTACATTTAGACAATAGACTATTATAGTACCGGTTACACGCTAATGAGAAAAAGGTACCGTAATCGAGATAAGATCTCAATTTAATCGACGACAGTTCCTTACTGTCTCGGGTATTATATTTAATATCATGTTTAACTAGGTACGTGTAGAGACACTATCAACACTGGATGTTTCCTGCGTCTTTGTTACCGTATCATCTGTTATCACGTTTACCCGTGGGAACCCAATGCCATTCTTATGTGACCGTAACCTAAGTTATTTTTAAATCTAATTAAATATTAAGTCATTTATTATTATGTATAGGTCAATAAAATTATTATTATAGACAATGTTATGAAGCAAAAAAAAACATTTAGAATATAGTAAGCTTTGTCTAGTAGTCATTTCTTTATTTCTATTCTATTCTATTTTATTTCTTATTTATTATTATAATAATTAATCTAATTTACTTTTAATAGTACTCGCATTTTTTTAATTATAATTATATTCAAATTTATAAATATATATTTCAATGTGTTGTTTACTATTATATTTATACATTTCTGATTATTAAGTATTCAATCATTCACTCATTCATAATTTATTGATTCAATAAGTAATATAATATTCATAATGTTGAAATTTAATTTAATTATTGTATTATACTTACAGCTGGTGAAACAACTGGAGACTGAATGTTCTGATTCGCTGTATGGTTTGCTATCATAATCATCGCTCTGGCCCTTGCTGGACGCGCACGGTGTAATTTGATGATCCACCGGTGATGCGTAACTGCACAAAAACGTCATAATTTATTTATTTAAGAAAAATGTTAGGACACTTGATACGGCACGATGAATTTATGAAAGTAATTATTAAGGTAAAGATAGAAGGAAAGAGGGAGAGAGGAAGACAAAGGCACACCAACATCAAGCAAATGAATCACAGAATTGGAGTCGTGTTATATCAAAGTTTAAAGAGTATGATGGAAAATTGTAGAAAGTGGCAAGAGCTCCACCGACAAGAGCGTGGCTCTTAAATTATGAATGAATAAATGCACAAAATACCAAGTAGTAGGTAGTACACATGATGCCTACCAGTCAACCACAGGTTGGGTAGAGAAAAATTGCCCTTTAGGAGTCTATCTTTCTAGGAGAGGACAAGGAAACGGCTCAGAATTTGCTATTTAAATTACAACTCCGAGTTACCTGTTGGTGAGATGTGGCACATCGTAGTGATGCTCAGCTCTTGTATCTGTCTGTGGGTGTTCGTATCTTGGAGGCCGGTGTTGCATCAGATCCGGTGCTAAAGACAATGACTGCTTCTCCACTGTTGGATATATTTCCGGTTGAAAATCTGTTTTAAAAGGAATTGACGATTATAAAGCATGTGTGGGTGTATTATTGTCATTTTGCTTCATTTTCACAGCTTTTACTGGTTTGTTACTCTTTGTAGCGTTTAGTATTATTATGTAAAGATAAATAAAGAAATATATTATCTTTCATATGTAACACATTATTCATTTCATTAATTATATTTTATTTATTCATAACAATTTACATTACATTAGATATTGCATAGCATAAATTATAATCAACCAGTCAAATGTCTAAAATAAATACATCTTATTATATACGCAAATGTTTGTGAGTATGGATGGATGTTTGTTACTTTTTTTTTACGCAAATACTACATAACGTATTTTGATGAAACTTTACAGTAATATAGCTTATACATCAGAATGATAATAAGCTATAAATTTGCGGATGAAATCGCGGGCACAGCTAGCATTAAATAAAGTAATGATATCGATTTTTATATATAACTAATCTTACCAGTTCTCGTCATAGTGTACAGTGAATGATCCCTTGTCTTTCTTTGCAGAAGTTTGTACACTACTGCTGCTCCAGCCAGGAACACCACCACTGCGACAGCAATACCGATGTACAGTGGCACATCGCTGTAGGCAGCAACTGTTGTGAGAACAGCACACTTAGATAGGTTTCCAGGCATACATGGTATGAGAAATAACCTAACGGCAAATGGTAATCTATAGAAACGTACAACACTGGAATTTAAATTCGTTAGTGTATTTTGAGGTATTATTTTATTCGAATAATAATAATAATCAACGACAATTCATGCAGCCCCATATGTTACCACACTAACTATTGCTATACTAGGTTCGAAGCACTGATTTAAATAGTTTTTTTTGGAAATTGATGTAATATATATTGAAGCATTTAAAAACTGGGCTTAACGTTGTGCCTTGGGAGAGGCCTATTTCCAGCAGTTATGTACTGCACTGCCGTGGTCTGATGATGTTGATGTTGATGATACTGAAGATGATGATACTAATGATGGTGATGAATAATTCATATAGGATATAGCAAACAAGCTTAACGTTGTGCCTTGGGAGAGGCCTATTTCCAGCAGTCTACTGCAGTAGCCTGATGATGTTGATGTTGATGATACTGAAGATGATGAATAATTGATATAGGATATAGCAAACAAGCTAACCGCCTATCTGATGGTAAGTAGCATAGTAAGTGAAATCTTTCCTTTTTATAATTGACGACCTCGGCGGTCTAGCGGTCTAGCGCACCGCTTTATTTCCGAAGGTCGCAGGTTAGATTCCTCGCACGGCACAATCATTTGTATTCATGAGTACGATTGTTTGTTATCCATGTATGTATTTACGAAAAAAAATCTGTGTATTTGTATCAGTCATTTAGTACCTATAACACAAGTTTTAGCTAGCTTAACTTGGGTCTAGATGGTTCTATGTGAATTATCCTGAGATTATTATTATTATATTATATTGATATAATTTTAATGAGAAACTGGAGATATTCGCTAATCCGTACTATTATTATAATTGCGACAGTGTGTCTGTCTGTTATTTATTCACGATTAAACAATTGAAAGGAATTTAATAACATTAGATGTAAATATAGTTTGATAGATACTATGACGAACATGGGCTAGCCTTTATCTTAAAAGCAGACGAAGTCGGAAGTAAAAGTCAGTTTGTTATAAATGTATACTAATATACCAAGGGTACATTTTGTAAAAACATTTCCGAAATTGGTCCATATAAATTACAAAGTAAGAGGTCCCATTCTATTTCTCAAACTTTATAGATAAATTTTACGTGTGTTTACTTTTCTGGCCAATAAATTTTATACGTACTTGGGTAGGTTCGAGTTAAAGCATTTTTTCTTATAAATACAACAAAAGAGAACGGGGGCCGGGACTAAGTAAAAATAATGTATCTAGTCTAGGTACAAGGTTACTAGGTTTTCCCACGCGTTGAGAATACCAATTCGTAAGAAATATTTAAGATAAAGCGTACATATTTTATTCAACAAATTTGTTTTATTCTACTTAATCTATTTAAAACAAGTTTAGTCATTATTAGAATAAATACCTCACTGTTCACATTTAGTTGCCAAAAAAATAGCTAAATTTCTGGTCACCCATCCAAAAAGTAACCCAGCAACCCTTGACTTCATTGATCGATGATAACGAGTACAAAAATAAAGACAACTATATCAAACAATGGAATCTTAAATTGATTATCTCACAGACATTTTTTAAGTTCGCAGGTTATAAGTAAAAAAGGAGTACAAGCATAAAAAAAAGGAGCAAAGCTTATATTGTGTTCACGATGAAGCCATCGGTCGATATCTCGATAACGAAGTGGGACGTTACACGGGTAATTAAAAACAAGGCACGGTGTAGCCGGCTGGTGTGCTCCGCTTGTGACTTCTTGTTTGATTTTATAATAAACTAGCTGTACCGGCAAACGTTGTTTTGCCTTAAAATAAAAAAAAAATTTGGGTTGGACTACCCCTAACATTTAGGGGGATGAAAAATAAATGTTGGCTGATTCTCAGACCTACTACCTACTAGTTAGCGCAGGCGGGTGCACCATTCCATTATCATCCAAACAAGAAAAAAAAAAAGAATCCATGATAATATATATTAAAATAAATTGTTCAGAATAACACGTGGTCCCAAATGGAACAAAGCTTGTATTCGCGAGTTCGAAGCGTTGTGAACCTGAATACAGTGAAGTGGTTATATCCGCTGCTCACTTGGTTAGCTGGCCATTAGCAAAAAAAGTATTAAGCTAACAGCCATATATTTTTTATTTATTTCTAGGGATCCGACGCAAAAACATATTGAGCAAAGTCTATTACATGCTAATCTATTACTTAAATGACAAACGTGCTTGGTAATAGTTGATCTAGCACGGGATTTTCATTTAATGTTATTGTTGGCGACCGACCGTCGAACTTGATATTTGATATTTTTATTATTTTTAAATTTATATTTGTGAAGAGTTCTTTTTTTATGTCATGTTATTTGATATACTTCAATTTGTTGTATTATTCTATTATTGTCTTTTGATAGTTACGCAACTGCACATATTAATATATTATATTATTGCAAACTACATGTTTTCAACATTTAAACACTCATACAGTCCACAGATCCATTACAGTTATACTTACACAATATAAATAAACTGACTTTAAAAGTAAGGAAATCTAGATATATTAACATGTGTAGCCTAGTACTAGAGGTGTCTCTGAGACTGAGTTAGACTGTAAAATTTCATTTATTCATATTTTCATTTGCATGGATACGTCAGGACTACTTGTTTCAACCGCCAAGCAGCTTGCTGTGTAAGCTGCGTTTAGGTTGAAGAGTGAGATAGAGTATTGAAATTACAGGATACCTCCTATTCATAGCAACGCATGAGTATCACATATGTTATATGATAACGTGATATCCACAGCTCTTTTCACGAACATAGACGACATTTACCAACATGGCTCACCTGATGATAATCAGGCTTGACAACTGATTTACCATTCGAATTACATAAAAGAAATCTCCAAAACTCAGAGTCCGTATCATTCCTAGGGAACCACGAGCTAGTTTTATAGATTTATACTTTAGTTTTAATATATGTGTACCTTCAAATTACAACAATTTAGACAAATTAATATTAAACCACAGTACATTTCCAATAAACTAATGAATTCAACTAAAGGAGTTTTTGTTAAATTACAGTCAATTTCGATGGTTGTGGACTAAGCACTTGCATATTTTGTAGTTGGTACACGAGTAATTACAAATACGATAATTAAACGACACACGGCTATTAATTAACATGAAAGTGTACAGTACAGTACAGTACAGTATTTAGTTAAATGAGGGCCAGGGGCTAGAATGACACAAGTAAATCTGAATGTAGTAGATGAAAATTTAAACACTGTTGGAATAAATAATATGAGGTAGCCCATATAGTGCCACCTAAAATTGAACTAAGCAAAACTGTCTCTAGTACTAATAGATATACTGATCACGTTTATTTTATACGTACTAATAAAAATAAGACTAAGTCTATGTCTTTGTTTCCTTTGCAGGAATACACGACAGAATGGACTTTAAAGAAATTTGATATAAAGATACTCGATACTGATAACTGGAACGAATAATAGCATTTTTTATCTCAAGAAATATTTGTAGGCTATAACACACATATTAGGGATATTGGTGAGGAAAAGATATTATAAGGAATAAAAATTGATAGAAACATAGTCGAGGGTAATGGCTAGTATCCAATACAGTTGAAATTAAGCATCTAACGTCATTTAAAAAATCTATATACACCTGTTGGAGTAAAAAATATTTATTGTGCAAGTGGAACGATTTTAAACTCATAAATACGTGATACTGACAAGAATTCCATAACTATTACGAGGACACAAATAGTTTATCTTTTATCTAATGAATTATCTGTAAAGGGATATAATAAAGAATTAAAATTTACAGAGAATAAGTAGCAGTAATTATATTGAATACTAGCTGTATTCAATATAATTGAAATTAAATAAGCATTTAACGTAAGTACTTTGAAAAATATCTAGATTCAGCTTCATTCATTTATTCATAAACTTATGAGCAACGCTCTTGTCGGTGGAGCTCTTTCCACTTTCTACGATCTTCCATCGTAATCTTAAGCCTTGATAAGACAGGACTCCAATTTTGATTCAGCTGTTGTAGGAAAAAATATTAATTGTATAAGTGGAACGATTTTAAACGCATAAATGCAAGACATCGACCAGATTTCCATAAATACACCTTTCAAACGAACACGTGAAGCACTGAATGGCGCAATAGCAGTAGGCCAGTGTCCATAAATCTCTGATATAAACAAGCATCAAGTCCCCGCAAGGTTTATAGCTAACCGATGTTTGAAATTCAATAAATCACTCAAACATCCGCTACTTGATTCCAAACGCCTAATAAAAACCGCAAAAACGTGTTTCCTATTAATTTATATACGACAAATCAAACATATTGGATTAATTTCAAAATTTGTACGCTGTGTAAACGTTTGTCAGAGCCAGCAATATATTCGTGTCCGTTGCAGATTGCAGATACGAAATCCAATCGAAATTTACAAACCCTTGTAGTTCTGCCCATAACGTGGTAGGAGGCCTCGCGGAATTAAATCCTCAATTGAAATAATACAAAACAATGTAGACCTTAACGTCAGTGAATAGAAAGATGATAATAGTGCGCGAGATTGGATTGGATATGTGGATGCAGTTTGTGATCACCCGCTGAGTTCACTCGACGAAATCACAACAAATCATTCACGGGGTCCACCTCCAGTAATGATGTCTGTAGCAAACATACATAGATTTTTACTGTTGTTTATTTATTCAATAAACGAGAGTCTTAGTTGACTTTATTGAAAGGCTATTATAGAGGCATAAAATAAATTTTATAGCGCCTGGGAAATGGGAAAGTCGTAAAATAGACAGGTGCATTTCTGCTCACTGGTGTGTGTACACTTAATATGAATAGGTAATATTATAGCGATCTTGAGAAGATATGTTATGGTGCAACTAATCAATATGGATATATTGGTACGAAAATCTTTTAACAGTCTATGTTTGAATTCATATTCGAATTTCCAAAGTATAGATGTAGAAATAGAAATAATCTTTATTCAAATAAACTCATTACAAGCACTTTTAAATAGTCATATTTTAATTCTCATCATTAGATGCAGATTCATCACAAGAAGAATGAGCAAGAAACTTGTGTGTTGCTCTTTTTAATAGATGTTTTTTAGAGCTACAATCTATCAGAAATGTAGATCTTAGTCATATTAGAGAGTTATCGCCTAAGTATAAATAGTACAGTAGTAATTAAACATTACAGATTATACAGTGAGAATTTATACTGTACAAAACGGTAACAGCTCAATCAACGTAAATATATCTAGTTTAATGCGAGTTTTCAAGAAATTTAATAATTCCATTTTTCACAATTACATGATATTGATTAAACATAATTATACTTGAAAATACCAAATAAATATAAGACAAATATAAAAACCAAATGCTTTAGTTCTCAAAAAATGATTGTTTTAGGTATACCAGTAGGTAACACAACTACAACTCGTCCAAAAATATCACACGATAAACAAAACAAAGCCAACGAAAGCATAAATAATCTAACATAACATTTACATCACATTTCAGACAATAATCTTAATATATAAAAACATTCAAATTCTATCTCGAGACACTATTAACATACTTCCTGAGCCCATTATTTATAGTGTCTTTACTATGTTTCGTTAAATAAACGACATGTTCACATTCTACTTCGATGTTTAGGCAACAAAAGATGAAAAGGCGCTATAAAATTTTCGCCATTTCCCCTTTGTGTGTCGGCAATTAGGCTAATGAAGTGGTGCCTGCCGAGCGCCCGCGCGAATGAATGGCCCCTCCAAACGTTCTTCGCATTCACTTTTCATATGGGTAATTTGCTGATGGTTCTCATTCTATGGCCTTACTTGAATTAGTTGAAAGCAACGGTATAATAGTCCTGGAGTAGATAGTGACTTCCCTTTTAATTCTGTTGATGAAATATTTGTAGCAATTTTGGTTGCCACACCAAAATTGCTGTTTGCCTCGTAGTGTTTTTGAAGTGAGACTGTCTTAGTAAGGTTTTTAGAAAGTGTTGTGATTAACTATGCCTCAGCTGCTTGACAGTTTCTGATATTTTGAATCGTACTAGAACCAACTTGATGGACAAATTGTTGGTTTCTCTAATTTGGAGTATTTATTAGACTAGACCAACACTACTACTGTGATTTCGGTAATAGTCAAGTGGCCTATCGTACACCCTATTCATAAATAATGATTTGCAATAAATAACAATCAATCTTTATAGCGAGATATACAATAGCAATTTATAAGCAAATATGTCAGAGATTGCAGATTTATTTAGCGTGAAAAGCGGAGCGTTTGTGGGGAAGAAGAAATTGTTAAGTAAACCAAAACAACTCACGAGGATGCCTGCGAGCTATTTATCAAATGTTCGATAAACAGAATAGGAAATTGAAACCGAGTCAACGGGGACCACCGAAATGATTTATTGCCATTATAAACAAAATATGGACTGATCATTTTCCATTTCAATATTGAAATGATGCCGCCGGGGACCTGACGTCACTGGAATGTTTTGGATGGTTATTGAATCAGTTTTAATCGTTGTATCCTCACTTGAGGTATAAAGATTTATGTTGGAAGCCTCTCTGACAAGAATTTATTAAAACTGTCGAAGTCTAACAGAATAGAAAGATAAAAGTTTCTACATGCCTTTATAGGGGTATCTGGCGAAGTTGTAACAATTTTGTCGCAGACCAAATGTTAAAGATATGAATATTTAGTCGACATTTCTGTTCAGACCACCATAAAATTTTAGGCTCTCTTCTAAATTTAGACGATATGATACGACCCAGATGGTCACGGTGCCCGATTTTAGTATCTCTCGAATCTTTTTAACGTGACCGCCAATGCGAGACCCGTGCTTCACCTTTGGTTTACTTTCAAGTACACGACATTTGTTTGAGTTGCGGGGGGGCGTGTATGTCTCAATAAAACGGTAGGTCGTAGTTACAACCGATAGCCTGTTATAAAGCGCCCAGTATATGTAACATTTCATAGTTATGAGCGCGCGAGGAAAAGGAAGTATATTTTTAGTGAATGTGGCATCTGGAGGAACGAAGCCGTGTGCTTTTCACAGAATTGGCTCAATTAACATGTCTCTAGAGGAATCGTTTCATAATTTGTAATTCCCACGTGACAAGAAATCGTAAACTTCTATGAAACTTTGACATTTCTAATTGTGTGTCTATTTGGAGCGTGTTGGTATTAAAGATGAGATATCGTCCCAATTAAATTATATGGGCCACGAACGGATATGTGGAGTTGATATAACAATATATCCTCAAAAAATATTAGTGTTATTAATATTTCTATTCATAATTAATATTAAATTTTATTTTCATTTCTAATATAATTTTCATACTATAAATTATTACCGGGACTTTTGTTTAATGTACGTCAAATTAAATACAGTCAGTATTCGGCTATAAATTTGCCACAAGATAAAAGAATGAGTCATTTTTTTTTTCTGTAATTAGAATGTTAAAGAGACTGACAACCAACCTGATAGTAATTCATAACAGCATCACGGACATTACGTCATCAATTAACCCCCATAGTACCCATAATACTTCTGTAATTTAAATGACAAAAGTATCCACCATAAAATTCACCATATACCTACCTACTAAGGCAAAAAAACGTTAGAATATTTATATATTTTTTTACTCACCACCGTGAACCCCACAGTAGTCTCCTACACAGTCTGCATGCTGCACATGTTGTCCTGAACACGGAGTGTCTCCGGTACAAGATCTTCGTCTACTCTGTCTGCAGTCAGCTCCACACACCGACCATTCAGACCACGCGCCCCAACGTCCAGGCAGTGCTGCAAACAAATACATACCATTAGCATTTTTTTTCAATTAGAAATTATGTACTATATTTAATTTTATTCACAATCCTTAAATTTGACAATCCCTCTCCACTAATCCTATAAGGGGTAGCCCTTATAGGATGACAGTCGTAATTATTTAAAAGACTACACACGATTAGATATAATTAGGATATTTACAATGATTATAATGAACCTATCGGAAGATATTTCGAGGCTGTTACAAGTGTCCTAACACTTGCAACAGTATCGAAATATCGAGAGATCAAAATTTTGATAAAAGTCGCGTTTATATATTGTGTAAAATTTACAAGTACAATAGTGGTCGAACGCGTAAGATTTCTCTCATTAAAAAAAATAAAGTAAAAGTCGCAGTTTTCGTCTATTTGTTTTTTTTTTTAATAATTATAAAAGTAATTCGGAACGTTCATATATATTCACATTTAATACATGTGTATAGTTGTATGACTGCACTGTCATATACATACTGCCACGCTGAATACCTAAGGTGAATCATTAGTAAAGCTAATAAACAAATGAAATCTAAATATATTTATATATGCAGATCTATTGTTAATATACTTAAATCAAAATAAAAATATAAAATATCTATGACTTATGACATGTCAAATCTATCGTCACTTCAGAGTGCTTTCGAGCTAAGAACTGATAAGAAATTCAGCTCTTATTAAAGAATAAGAGCTGAATTTCTCAATCTAAATATTATAACTCAAAGGTGACTGACATAGTGATCTATCAACGCACAGGCCAAACCACTGGACGGATCGGGCTGAAATTTGGCATGCAGGTAGATGCTATGACGTAGGTATCCGTTAAGAAAGGATTTTGATTAATTATTTACCTTGGGGGCCAAGGGGATAAAATATGGGATGAAAGTTTGTATGAAACTTTGTCAATTTTAAACCGATCGGGCTGAGACTTTGCATGTATAAAGCTACTATAATGTAGGCAACCCTTAAGAAAGGATTTTGATAAATTTCACCCCTAAAGGAATAATATAACGCGAGCGAAGCCGCGAGCAAAAGCTAGATTCATTTTAAAATTAAATATGTAGTTATGTATAGATGTAGTGACTACCAACATATGCTTTTGTATTTTTGACATAAGGAAATAATTTAATCTGTGGCTGTAACCCGAAGAGACACGCACTTTTGAATAGTCATTGAGCGAAGTCGTGAGTAACTAAGTATTACATATAGATATATGCAAACATGTTTCTCACAGTTAAATTAAAGATAGCTACAGTTTACAACTCAAATCACTAACAGTCGGCGAGCTTCAATGTATCGTCCTATAAATTGAAATTAAAATACATCGGAGAGATGGCCGTAACTGCCCTTACATGCGAGACGGGCGTAAATCACACGTTTTTTTTTCTTTTACAGAGAAGTAATAGAGAGTCGGTATGGAATATGCGGTGGGTCAAATGAGAGATGCGAGCGTATTAGTTTCAGTTTATTCATTACATAATTCATTTTTGTTTTCTAAATAAAAATATAACAAGTATTATAATTAGATGATTCATTTATTTAATTACATTTTTTATAAATTTAATTTGTATTGTATGAAATAAAAATTACTTCTAATTTCTTGAAAAAATAAGTACATTATTGCCAATATTACCACTTAACATTGCTGTATTTTAAATAGAAAACTTAAAAAATGAAATTAATATGATTAAATGTAACATATTATAAGAATAATAGACCTACATAAAAATAAAATATTATTTAAAATTTCTAATATGAAGTCCTGAAAAACTATACATAAATTTGTAAGATAAACAAAATATTATGTTTTATGTTAAATGATGTACTTAGGTACTTATTTTTTTAGGTAATTTACAAACCAATTATCTTTTTAATGCGTAGTGTTTAAATTTTTTTTAAATTGTAAAGTTTAATTTCATATTGCTAGCTCGTCAATCTTAAGCTTAAGTATCGTCGATAGCTTATGACATGCACCCTATCAGAACTCCTTCTCTCCCCGCCCACGTGTGGGTGTAGTATACGCATATTAAACTACAAAAGTGTGTAACATTTCTTATTAATTAATGCGCGCACACATAAATCAGTCGAGGTTCGTTAGTAAGGAACAACGCTATAAAGGATTTTCATATATATACGCGGCTAAAGGTGTATATACATCTGTTAACTGCTTTCTAATATTGGTATGTTTTTTTTTAATTTTTAAATATCTTAAAGTTGGATATTTTGCGTATAATTTCAGTTCAAACCACTATTTGAATTCTAATAAAACTTAAAAATTTGTCGAGTTAAAACAATTATTATTCTAACGGAATTAATGCTATTTTCAATGTGAAATTATACAATTAAAAAAGTGACACATAGAAAAAAATTTAATTGTTAACTAAATTTAATCAAAATATTAAAACATTAGCAACTCTTATCGGTTGCTAATGTAACTGATATTTTTTAAAACTACTTATTATATCTACGAATATTGTCAACGATGTTTTAAACATTTTTCATGTCTGTTTTTAATTATACACTAGCTATAGTATCCTACTTGCAACAGTATCGAAATATCGGCACCGTAACAGGATACTTGCAACAATATCGAAATATCGGAAGCCCATAACTAATTACGGTAAATATCCCGATTAAATATTACAATATCTTCAATGTGAAGATATCTTTATTTCAAAAACAACTTTATGGGGCACAAGAAAATAAATTACATGTAATTGCAACCCACTGTCACGTCACAGTGACAAACCGAATTTTCTGGAATATATCGCGCAATACGTGTACGTATGTAGACATTAAGAAATGGGTGAATAACATTATGCTAATATTGGAGCTTCAGAATGTTTTAGGTAATTCAAACCGAAACGTGTAATACCTGCCCGTGTCGTTTCCCAAGACAACTCTATACGAATAATTTAATAAATTAAGTAATGAATTTGAAAGTAATGAAATTGTAATTCAATTAATTAGTAAACTGTATTAATTAAATACTTATAAAATTTTAATGAGTTTTAATAACGAGGTAACTCCAGAGATAAATAAAAGAATTTCTATAGCCATTTCACGCGACAGTGCTGAAGCTTTGGGCGGGGTACAAGACTTTAGTTGATAATTGTGTTGTCAGTTATAATTTTTTATTGTATTATTGTAATTGAATGAATTATTCTACTTTTAATAAAAATATTTAATTATTTTATTTATCAATTCATTTTTTTCAACAGATGATGCAGCCAACTTGAAATATAATATATATTTCATGTTGGCTGCATCATCTGTTTGTCAGGATGGACCGGGATATAAAGTAGTCTACAACCTCTATCGTCTTAAATACATACATATACATATATTGCTTTTAGCAATAAGGCCGCCTTATTGTATTGATACATGTGTCCTTTGTTATATTATCTGTGCTTCTTCTTTACTGTACGTTGCAAATAAAGTATATTCTATCTACCAATCTATATGTATATGCTAAATTTCAAGATGTTTAATTAAGCTGTTAAGACGTGACAGTAAAAACAACATACACGCAGTCTCATATTTATAATATTAGTTATACGACCTCGGTGGTCTAGCGGTCTAGCACACTGCTTTACGTCCGATGGTCGCGGGTTCGATTCCTCGCACGGCACAAATATTTATATTCATGAGTCTGATTGTTTGTATCGGTCTGGGTGTTTTCTATGTATAATATGTATGTATTTAAAAATAAAATTCTATGTACTTGTATCAGTTATCTAGTACCCGTAACACAAGCTTTAGCTAGCTTAACTTGGGACTAGATGGCGCTGTGTGCATTGTCCTGAGATTATTATTATTATTATTAAAAGTTATGGTCCCTCGTTTATAAATGTTTCTTTTTTAATTGTCCTTGGTATGTTTCAAATAATTTTTATCCTTTCTCTGTTTGAATTGAAAATCTTCTTTTAGAGGTTAGTTGAATTTTCCAAATAATAAAATCTTTCTCTTTTTCAATTCAAAAAATTTTATACAATAGTGTGTTGGAAAAAAAATGAAATGCATTAAGAGCGTTGATGAGTTTATAAATATAAAGATAGAAGTCAATGGTTCTTCTGTCTACCTCTTAGGAGATCTAGCTTGAAGACAGGTTGACCAAAAATCTGAAGAAATAATTACAAGTCTTCGTTATTTTGTCCTCAAGGTAAAACGGAAAAATATGAACGTTTGAGTTTGTTGTTTTAAAACAAAGTTATAGCACAAGTTAATTGTAGCGTCAAAAATAATTAAATTATATCACTTCTTTGCAAGAGTAATACAATATTTTATCCTGTTAGACGAGTTCGTAGGCTGTTTTAGCAAGGAAATCTGCTTAGGAGTGCGTGGGAGGAATTTATAGTCACCTTTACTCTCCTTGGTGGAGATTGCCAGGTCGAAAGGTCAAGTGACAGAAATATTCATTCGAGATTATTATTTTCATATATCACATTGACGGTGATGACAGCCTATTTAAGTGATTCTCCGTTATCTCAAAGCATATCTTATTTGTATTAGACATTATACAGAACTTATATACATATTAGTCTTCTTAAGGCTAATTTTTTTTATACTACGATGGTGGCAATCAGGCATACGGCCCATCTGATGGTAAATGGTTAACGTAGCCTCTGAACGCCTGAAACACCAGGGGTATCACGTGCGCGGTGCCGACCCATAAGAAACCTTAATATACCCTTCTTGAAAAACCCCACGCTGTAATCTCGTGGCAAAACCTCGGCAGGAAGTTCATTCCACAATCTAAGTGTACGCGGGAGGAAGCTCCTCTGAAACCGCACTGATCGGGACCACTTAGGTTCCAGCGTGTGGGGATGAATTCCCTGTCGATGGCGAGCGGTGCGGTGGTAAAAGGGTGCTGTCGGCATCATGTCGAACAATTCCTCAGAGTCCCTAAGACCCTAAGGTCATGTGTATATAAGTTATGTATATTTTAATAATTTTAAAGAATATTTGCCAATAATTTTAGAATTTTAATAGTGGTTTATTTTTATTTCGGTGGTCAAGGGTTTGATTTTCGTGTAAAACATTTGTATGTACTTATGAGTATGATTGTTGTTGTATGACAGTGTGTTTGTATGATTCACAAAAATATATTTAAGTAGAAATCACTCGGTATCGACGGTAGATTTGACATATCATAAGAGTCTGTAATAGACCTACTCGAATAAAGATATTTTGATAAATATATATATTCAGATAATAAATACATTAATGACGGCCTCGGTGATCTAGCGGTATAGCACACCGCCTTACTTCCGATGGTCGCGGGTTCGATTCCTCGCGCAGCGCAAAGATTTGTATTCATGAGTATGATTGCTTGTATCGATCTGGGTGTTTCCTGTGTATATATTTTTAGAAAAAAAAGTATCAGTTATCTAGTACCCATAACACAGGCTTTAGCTACCTTACCTGCCTCTACCTTTTTTCTTTCTTTCTTTCTTAACTTGGGTCTAATGGCGCTGTGTGAATTGTCTTGAAACGTCATTATACATATTATTTCAAGTTATAACATAGTTAAAAATTTCATTATGCTTACGTCCATCATTAAAACAGAAAAATAATTAACACTAGAGGAACTGGCAAGTTCGCCGCAAGCAGCCGACATGTGTTACTAATTGGCCCAACAATCCGAGTTTAAACTTAAAACAACCTCTTGATTGAATTTTATTGTCTACCCGGTTGGTCTAGTTTATTATTATGTGCCTACACACAGACGCCACGTTCGTCGTACATGTTTGATATAGTTAATTTGTTCAGTAATGAAATGGTAACTCTGAAGATATGTGAATAAATATTTAAGCATTTTAAACCCCACTATCCTACTAGCATTACTACTATTACAAATACAAAAATGTCTGTCTGTATGTCCGTTTATTAAAATATAAAGTAATTTTAATGAGAATCTTTATCTCGTCTTCAAAACCATCTCTAATAATCCAACAATTATCATTTTATTATTATACTAGCTATTCGCCCCGGCTTCGCCCGGGTGTACATGTATTACATATAAACCTTCATCTAGAACCACTCTATCTATTTAAAAAAACCGCTTCAAAATCAGTTGAGTAGTTTTAAAGATTTAAGCATATAGGATCGGACAGACAGGGACAGCGACTTTGTTTTATACTATGTAATAATGATATTTATAATATTTTAAACTGTAATTTGTGTGCGTCTGTGCTGTGGGCATCAGCACTGGAAACCATGTTTCCAGGATCATACGGAGTTGTGGATATTGGCTCTGTGTTGCAATCCATGTAAATTGTTACTTGTTTCCTTTTTTCTATCATTACTCTTGCGTACGAATCAATAAATTCTATTCTTCGATTCTATTACATCCCATCTCAATTAATCAACCTTGAATAACACAAATTAGTTCTATGATGTACTTAAGAACATCATTTACGTAGACAAAGCCGAGAAGTTTTGTTATTAATAACTAAATGAGATCATCTTTTAGATAATTATTATTATACCGACTAGTATCTATTATTTGGTACAATTTTATCTGATATTCCGTAGAGGCATCAGTGCATGACTAAAACGAAATTAACATAAAAATAACGCGGACAGTTTGACAGTAACATGCCGTTTGTTATGTTAATAAAGTATTAGAACTGTATAAAGATATATAAGTACAATGTTCTGGATTTGTTATTTTTTATGTAATTTGATGGCTGATAGCTGACGAGCATTATGGTGTAACTATTGCCTAGATACATGAAGAACATTACGAAAATCATTTACTCATGATAAATGTAAAACTAAGTAAATTAATGTTTATTTACAAAATATTGGTATTCCTGTAATTGTCCCTGAATTACAAAATATTGGTAAATCTTGTAATTTCCCTGCCGTGTCTAACACTACAGTCGAAATACAGCTTACAAAGCAAAATGCTTAGCGGCTGAAATAAGTAGACATAGCAGGTATCCAGCCGACTTTAAAGAACGTGTACCTCGGTGAAACTGGAACACTACATTTGACAGGTAATTCATTTGAAGTACATGAAATTGAAAGGTATGAAAAATTACAGGTATTACAGGTAGAAAAGGATAGAAATAATTAATGATCTGCGGTCTTTATATAGCAATTTTAAAAGCGTCAAATTATAAATTAGTCATTTATCACAACTGTACATATAAAAGCATTTTTTTCTATCTATTTCTGTACAAAATTCAGGAAATACTTTCTTAATGGATGTGTACGTAATAGTACTTCAAGGCATTTAATCTGTTAGTTGATAGATGATATAGTAAGCCAGAAAAAAACAAAGATTATTGGCAACGACAAATTAAATGTAAAAGTACTTACATACTTTTTTTAAATGGGCAATGAAAATAAAGTTGTTTATAACTAATGCATAACTGAAATACACGTAATTCAGATGGATGATTCTGTGTTCAACCTAATCAGAAAAGCGTGGATAGTGTGGAATCCAAGGTATAGGACATCGTTGACTACATCCGGATCAATAGTAGCATGAACTTGAGGGTGATACAGCTGTAATCGAGTCAAAACACGAACTTCAAAGCGTTTGTGACTCGGGTCCTATAGAATGAGCAATAAACTTGCGTATTGCTCTTTTAAATAAATGTTGATATTAGCAAATATACATTTAAAAGTAGATATGGGACAATCAACATAATAACCGCTAAGCACTTATTCTTTGTGCAATCAGATGGTATTGTCAGCTCTATGAATTTTAAATTGTTTATTTTCTACAAAGGCATTATCATTTATAGACTTCAATTTTATAACAACCTTCTTTATAAAGAAAGTTATTGTTGCATATTCAATATAATCGAGAATTACAGATATGAATTCAAAATATTTTACTCAACCATAAACATCGGAAATTATTAAACAGAGTGCGTCAACCGCTAGACCAACGATGTCGCAAATGTCTACTTCACAGCCTCAGTTTTCAAAAGACGCGAACTTCTGCTAAACTTTCAAAGTTCGCTCAACATATTTCCCAAACATCTGCGCGCCATCAGAGCGACACTAAACTTAGTTGTCCAACACTTGCTTGTTATATTACTGTCGCTATGAAACACTTAACTCTTTGATGTGTACGCTGTACTCGCTTTATGTCCATACAGAATTAAACGGCGGCATTTTTATAGTTCTTATGGAAATACTAAAGCATTAGAATCGTTACGATTTAGGCACGTGTCCTTTATTGTGTTATTAATTTCAATTCTTTACGATCGTCTGTGACAATGGTTAGGTTTGATGGTAGTTCTCTTGTTTTATTGGTTATTATTTCTATGAAGCGATGGTTGTGCTTGTGAGGAGAATTTTAATGTGTCGTCTCAACTTTTATCTATACAAATAAATAAAGTTGAAGCGTCTGTTTGTAATTTGAAGTTAACAGCTTTCACTAAATGCATATGGAAGTATTTATATGGTACTGACATCAAAAATTGATTTAAAAATAATTTTGTTTTGACGGTCAAGCCGATTTTACCTCAGTAACAAAATAAATCTGTCATAGTTATCAGAGCAGATCAGCCCCTACAAGCAACACCCATTCATGAGTAAATTGTAAAAAAATATTTTACGTTACACAACTTAAATTTTGGTTTGTCCAAAGCTAAAAAGATAATTATGGTGATAAATACATTGCATTGTAAAGAAAAAAAATTAAAGACATTTTTGAGAGCTTCATATCCTAATACTTACCAATTAATTGCTGCGTATTATCCATATATCCTTCTGCATGGCAAGCGAGGAAAAATTTAACATTTATATTAATTTTATAATTAAAGTAATTAATTAAAAAAACACATCTTTATTTTTAATATAAGGCGTTCTGTTCTGAAGGTGTCCATAATTTTGACGTATGTATATGTTGTATATTACATTTTTTGAAGTTTATAATATACAACAGTGAGTTTTTTATAGTTAATCTAATCACTGAAGTAATTTTCATTCATAAATATTTCTATCATAGTATCGCTGTTTAGACATTTACTAATGGTATTACAAAACATACAATGCAAAATGTATATTGACAATCGATGTACTATCCGGGCGCGAAGGATCAAAGTAGAATAAAATCAAGAATGCACACCCGTTATTCTTTCTCCATGAAACATCAGTACTATAATTAATATTCAAGTGGCAAAGTTTATATGCCGGTATATGAAACAAAATGCGAGAAGCGCGATATACCTAACTGTGTAAGAGAAAAGATTGTTAGTAACGTGAACTATCACATTGCAAGTAATATACCATATGAGGTTACTCTCCAAGCGATTCCCTCTGGAAACCATCGTGATTAATTCCCGGTGAATTACTCACAATGGGCTAACTGACCTGACCTCATGTTCATTACATCATCCTCCACTGGTGCCCCAGATCGTTAGGGGAGGTGGAAGCACCATATCATTATTATATATTAAAATAAACCTAGTATGAATTCTAAAGGAGATATAAAGCTCAGATATTAAAGATATGTTTACCATTCTGACAAGCGACGCAGTTGGACGTCCGTTGGACAGATTGTCCCTGACACTGCGCCCCGCCGTTCAGTGGGTAGGGCTCTGTACATGTGCGTGTACGACGCTGTCCTTCAGTGACTCGTCCGTTGCAGCGGCATTGGGTCCAGGGACTCCAAGGGCTCCAGCCTCCATTTACTGTAGTAAAAAATAGTTTTTAATAGAGATATTTAAATTGAAAACATTACTTATGATATGGATACGTAGATACATGAATACGGGATGATTTTAGCACCGTAGACTGTGACGGCCAATGTTGGTCATTTACGGAAATCTGTCCAAAATGACAACTTGACTAGAAACTCTAATTCTATTGCATAGTTATCATAAAAAATTATATCATAGGTATTTTTTTTTAGTTCCACAAATATTTAAATAATAATTTGAATGATTAACTTTCGGCCATACATTTATAGGGTCAAAATTATTGCATTTGAGCTCCTCTATCTCGTCCTGACGGGAATACGTCGAGTTACCAGTAACCCAGTATAATATCTGGATAATTTAACGTCGCTATAAAAACATTTGATACTTACTGTATTTTATTGTGTTTTAATGAATAAATGAATGTAGAAATATTGCAATGCAACTATATATCACGATTTATATCATCACTAGCTACAAACAATATTTTTACATAAAAAAATATGAAACTAGTAACGTTTCAAACACGCAATTGTTTCTGGGAAACGATTGTTTTTTTTTCATTTGCGATAAACTTCGAAATATCGTAATTGTAAAATTGATGTAACTACACGCCGTCGTCGATAATGTGATGGATATCATTCTTAACCGACTTCGAATATAGTAAGTTTTTATTTTGTTAGTACATTATTTGAATCCAGCTGGTTTAAACTAGTTTTTACCTTCAATTGCATACTATATCGGCCTAAAAAATTTGCAAGTAATATATATTTGTCAAATAATTTCGTTCTAAATGCGATATGCATACCTATGTCAGATTTCACTATGAGGATAGTTTAGCTAAGGTCCAAAGAGTTTTACATTTTCCAAAGTTCCAAGTTTCCAAATTTCACATTTAAAATTATTAGTAAGAATATTCTTCTACAAAAAAAAATCTAAATAAGATAAACGTAAAGTAAGAAAGTGAAATACAACCCCAAATATAGCATAATAAACAGAATAATATACACGAATCCTCTTTTTTAAAGTCGGATAAAAAATAAAGGAGGTAAGCAGTAGGTGAAATGTTACTACAATGATTCTCGTACGCATAGACAATAAAAATAAATCGTAAGAACAGCATGTGTATACCACATTAGAATCACACTGTAGAAATTAGGATGCCTTTCGAAATCTGCAGGCCAACCTGCGTGCTACAGTCAGTGTAGGTTATATCTTTACCCAGATCGCTTGCTTGTTAGGAAGGCACGCAAAGTCGCGTGCAATACCTAGCATCCACTATATACACTAATAGCCTACCCAGAATTTTGCTTTTCTATAATTTAACTCATTGCCGTGTGGCTCTAGCGTGCGTATTACAATAAATTCCAAGAAACTTAGGTATTGTTACAAAGGTATATATAGCCTATATATATACATTTAAATTATAGACAAATATATTATTTAGGTTTTTGGATCAATATTGCATGAATTTATTATGTGCGAAAAAGGTAACAAAAACAGAATAAGAAAAATCTTTATTCAAACAAACTCATCATTTTTGAATAGTCATATTTTTATTCCACCACTCATTCTGAACGCAGATTCATCACAAGAAGAATGAGCAAGAAACTTGTGTATTGCGTTTTTGAATTTTTATTGTTAATTAATTTAATAAGTAAGAGGCATGCGATAATCCATATAGAAACCGCTACACACTCATCCTTAATGTAATCAGATAATATTGTCAGCATTATGAATTTTAAGTTTTTTCTACAAAAACATTATTATTCTTTTATAAACTCTTCAATTTTATATTAAGCTTTTTTTACAAAAGAAGTGTGTTATTCGATCTGAATCTTTTTTTAGGCAGATTTAGAACAGACTCTGGTAGTTTGTTGTAAAACCTTACGCAATTATTATAAAACGAATTACTAACTTTAGTTAAATGGCATTTAGGTAAAATCGTGATTTGATTATTAATGTAAAACAAAAAAATGTTACTTTATTTGCCGGCAGGTTTATTAACCAAATTGTCACGGTTGGTCACATTTGTAATACCTTCTCTAGTGTGTTGTCACATAGTTTCCAAAAACAAATAAATAAATAAATTATTTTGAAGTTTTAATTCAATTTGAAGGTAATATTTAGCGTTTTTAATACATAGTTTGAAATAGATTTCAAAAAATATTACAGGATAAATATGTATAGTATACTATCATTGTCACAAATTGTCACACTTTGCTGACCATCTCCTTTACTGATCTTTAAAGTGTGACATACATAACGTCTGTCGTCTTATGGGATCTTAAATATTTTTTTTTGTTTGAATTACGGTTCGAAATGGGTGGCTTTTTAGCCCCAATTATTTGATTTAGAAAATTGACATATAATATAATAATAATAACAATAAACTCAAGACAATTCACACAGAGCCATCTAGACCCAAGTTAAGCTGGCTAAAGCTTGTATATATACTACTAGATAACTGATACAAATACAAAAATATTTTAATTTTCGCAAATACATACATATTATGTATGTATTTGTATAGGAAACATCCAAACCGATATAAACAATATATAAAAGTTTATGCCGTGCGAGGAATCGAACCTGCGACCATCGGAAATAAGGCGGTGTACTAAACCACTACACCACCAAAACCGTCATGTACTCTTAGGTTGATTATCTATCTATATATATTTATATATATTATCTTTCTACTAAAATTTTAACTAATAGAATTCTGATACTGCAATGCTTTTATAAAGTTTTATAAGAGTTAAAATAAGCTTTGAGAACAGGTAACTTAATCGGCTGCATCATAGCTGTTGTTCCCATAAATGGTGTCTAATGACTGGCTATTACATCACAGTGAAGGAATAAAGAGAAGAAATAATGAAAAAATAAAACTAGTTTCGCTTTAGAGTAATTTTGATTTCACATTAAGTGATAGATTGCTTCTAGCGATAAGACCGCTAGATGCTTGCTTGTCCACCATTCTTTTTATAAAGTTTGTATTTTTAATATCTGTTTTTTATATGTCACTTTTGTATTGATTTCTTCGCTGTGTGTGTGCACTTGGGAAATATACACATTTAACACTATTATTCAGAATTTTAACAAAATAGTCGTTGTGTTCTCGCTCCAGTCACACCGTCCTTTGTGATGTACAAATATATATCTCTTTTCTATATAATTCCTATGTAAAATGCTTGGTGCAATAAATAGTTTATAAATAAACTATCTGTCCCCGCGGTTTTATCCGCGTGAATTTTATAGCATATATATTATTCTGATGTATAAGCTACATCTCTGTAAATTTCATCAAAATCCATTCAGTAGTATTTGCGTGAAAGAGTAACAAACATCCATCCATACTCATAAATTTTGGCATTTATAATATTAAGATTATTGGCTCACTACACGCAACATAATTAACTGTAACTGGTGAACACCTTATCTTCATTATTATAGTATAAAACAAAGTCGCTGTCGCTGTCTGTCCCTATGTATGATTAAATCTGTAAAACTACGCAACGGATTTTGAAGCGGTTTTTTTAATAGATAGAGTGATTTTCGAGGAAGGTTTATATACATAATACATGTACACCCGTGCGAAGTAGGGGCGAGTAGCTAGTAAATAAATAAATGAAAGTTAGATAAACAAAAATCCGTAGCCTAAAGCTAAAAATCCGTGGAGTGTCGTCAGACTAAAATTTTCTTAACAAAAAATGTATGCGACACGTAATTAGTAGATTTTTTACGCTCTGCGTAGAACTAATGTGGGAGGGATTTCAAAGGAGACTCAGAAGTCACGTATCTCCGAATTTTATCTCTTCAGTTCAAAGTTAATTTTTTGTCGTCTCCAAGAATAGGCGATTAGTAACGCCTATAGTATGTGTATCAATAGAAACATTAGAGTTTCGTGTATCTATATTACAACAAAGTTCAACGAACAGTACTGCATTTATGTTATCTCACTAATTGTAATTTATGTACATTACACATGTTTTTATCAATTTGTTATCGATTTATTTGTAAACAACAATAATTTTAAAATGTATAGTTATTTCAACAATATTTTTTATATAACTTAACATTATGGTGAACGTAGACTCCAATTGACAGGTCTTAGATCTTACCTCCTTCTTATACAATCTTTTTAAGTCAAAATAATCAACATTATCGTACGAATTCAGAAATAATAATAATAATAATAAAAAAAATCATCATTATAATTTTTTTTTTATTGTCATTGTTCGGTGATTTTTACCCGCAATGACAAGTTTATCACCCTATCAAAGGGAGATATATAAAATATATACATATGTAAAAACAATAATAATAATAATTGTACTTTTAACTAGTTGTGCTCGCGGTTTCACTCGCGTGAAATTGATAGCCTATATGTTATTCTGATGCCGAAGCTATATTACTGTATTTTACAGTACAGTAGTTTTTACGTGAAAGAGTAACAAACATCCATCCATAGTCACAAATTTTCGCGTTTATAATATTAGTAAGTAATTAGTAAGATGTATTTTTACAGTTACATACAGTTTTACTATGCAGCAACCAAATATTGAAATAAAAATAATTATTATATCATCATCATCATCTTTATTTATCACAAATCATTATATAGTATAAAACCAAGTCGCTGCCGCTGTCTGTCCATCCCTATATACGCTTAAATCTTTAAAACTACGCAACGGATTTTGAAGCGATTTTTTTAATAAATAGAGTGATTAAAGAGGAAGGGATGTATCATACATGTACACTCGTGCGAAGCCGGGGCGAATAGCTAGTATCTTATATTCTTATATAGTACTATTAACATGCAACAGATTACTAATAGATTCAAAAACAATTAAATCTTGATTTACTGCTAAATATTCCTTTCTTACTTCATTTAAGAGAGAATTCGATGTAAAACAGACCACCCGTGGCTCATTCGGTGTTTCTTTCTCAATAAAAATTGATTGCCCCATTATAGCTGTGTATGTTATTAACCTATTAAAGCACTGTTAATATTAATAAAGTGCTTCCATGTGGCTATTGAAAATTTACCATTGGAATTTCGATTGGAGAAAATTAGTTTTATAGTGGTACCAGAGTTTGGCGAAAGAGGTGTGGCTGATTGATTTTAATCAAAATGCAGCAGATATATTATTACTAGCAAATGATTTTGATTTTGAGGCTATAGACTGCATTAATTATGCTATTTCTTTTAATTTATTAAACGACTATTTCGGTGTTTATATATATTATTAAACGATATATTCTGTCTATTAAAAAAAACGTATCTTGTTTCTTAAGATGATATAAAGTTTATGACTTCTCACGGGTTCGACTTCTCTCTCATTCAACAAAAATTTTATAAACAAAACAGATAAAAAATTAATTTATTGAGTTAGAGCTTCCCTGTACACCATATTAGATGTTATTTTGTTTTGCATATAAATTTATTTTCCGGATCCTTGTTTGATAAAAAGTTTTGTATTAATAGACCAAATTTAAAATTTCCTAAGTTTACTAAAGATTAACCAGACCCTTCATGTTACCTGTAAGCATTATTTAGTGTATTGAAAAACTAACTAATCACTTTAAATTCTTAAATTGTGGTAACAACATGAAATATAATAAAAGGTTTTACATAATAAAATTTATAGCCTATATATTATTCTGATGAATAAGCTTATATTACTGTAAAGTTTCATGAAAATCCCTTAATATTTCGGTGAGAGAGTAACAATCATCCATGCATCCATCTAGCCATCCATACTCACAAACGTTCACGTTTATTATATTAATACGATAATGAATACATTTTACACGAAAATTAACTAAACCATTTTATTAAACGGCCTAGTGGTAAAGCTATCGCACTGAATAATGTTTAACTTCTTATATACAATATTATTTAGAATTCTTTAATTAATGTTAAAAATAGTAGAATTTTTTGTGAAGTTATTAGTATACCATAACATTGAAAGGAGCGATAAAATGTAGACAAACGTGATGTTAAAAGAAAGAGCTGTTATTATCCAATCTGTCGGATATAAAACTTATAGTAATGGTAATACGAGAGGTCTCGCTACAGTGCAATAAACGCGTGATCATCATATAATTGTGCGAGGTAATAAAAAGTATTGTGAAGACATACGCCCACCCGGTGTTCATTCACGACTTGATAACGACGATATATTACCCAATTTGCAAGTAAGTGCCACAATTTCTATAGTACATGCACAAAGGGCTCTAAACCCTTCATAAACTGAATTGGTCGCGGTTTATAGTGAGAACTATTATGCTTATAGTTTACGGAATTGTGCAATATATCCGTCACATTTTTATTTATTAGGCTCAAGTACGTGACTTATTCTAAGTACATTTTAATTGTATAGTGTTCTGGTACAAATTGGATTTCACTACTGGACGTAGATTTCATATTTATAACATATCTTACATTTACATTTAAATTTATTGTTACATTCAGTTTTATTTTACATTCAAATCCATTTAACGTTAATTACGTCTAAATTTCTGTAATAGTTTCTGAGTAAATGTCGAAATTATTAGGATGAATGTCTGCTTACAATTTAGGTATTTTAGTATTTGTTGTTTCTTAATAGATCATTTAGATGAGTACAAAAAATATATTCTTGCAACAATTAAATTTGAAACTTGGAATTTTTTGTTATCCGCTATACATGTCCGTCTACAGTTATAAGTCATAGAGAATATTCTCTAATGTGTAATTACGCATAGTAAGTATTATAAAAATAATTATATTTATTTCCACCAACAGTATATATTAACAAAATTTCACAAATCCCAACAACACTTCTTTGATCCTTAAATTCAAACGCACTAAAATAAATTCAACCCGTCAATTTACACCTCATATCTCTTTTGAAGCGACGTATCGTATAAATTAAGATGATAGCAAAATTAAAGAAACGTTGCAACAGTTCATGTTAATGATACGTAACAACCTACAGAATTTGGACGTGTTAAGTCAGAGGTGCTGATTGCGATCAGCTAGGCGCCATGATCCAGGCGTGGGCGAGCACGGCTCTTAATGACTCTCCCATCGTTCGGGCATTGTAATAATTGCAAGCCTCGGTACATGCCCTTTGATCTTATAGTAAAGATAGTTATTACGTATAAGTGAGGGTGAAATGAGCGTTAAACAGCGCGGTTTCTTGTCTGATAAATTGCATGTGAAATAATGATACGCTGAATTGTAGCTTGTTAGACATTTCCCATTATTAAAAGGCATGGCTGTAACTCTTTGAAAGCTATTATGTTTGTGCGAAATAATCAATTTCATGTAACACATGTTCACATAATAGCCGAATAACTTAAATGTAATGTTTTTAAAACTATTCTCTTTAATTAATAGAGGCCAAATTCAAATAACCATTATAGCATACAGTTTGTGGATAAAAGAAGAGTTGAAATCAGAACTTACCATAAACCGTGACTAGTGCTGCTTCAGAAACTCTCTTTCCAGCAATATTCTCAGCAACACAACTGTAGTTTGCCATATCCTGTTAACAATACAAATTCCAAGTAAAATTATACATTACTTAAATTTGTTTTGCAAGACAATTAATTCCCTTCATTTCCTGACTACTCAGGATGACATATTACTCTTTTGATCTCCAAATAGATTTTCTAAATTAGTAAACGGCTTAGTCACTAAGAATTTTGGTATCATAACAAGTTGCGTATGCTTAAGATGTTAACGAGGCACTTCCTTTTTAAATTTGGTACGCTAAAAATTTTGAACAATTGAATTTTTAGTGAGCTAAATTTAAAGAAGGAAATGCTTAAGAACTTTGTATTATACATAACTTGGTGTGTACACAAAATGTAGAATTGTCACTTTTAAAATAACAAAGGACGTACCCATTAATTCAAATGGCGACAGCAACACATATTACGTTCATATTAATTAAGAAGAAGCTCCTGACACCTTTGCGAATGGGGGTAATGTTACACACAGTTCTGCCACAATGAGAGAGCGAGTGACAGTAGCTGCAATTAATCCATGTCTCTGCGCGCTGCCTAATTAGCGGATACCGCTCTCCGGAAACCAGAGATGGAATGAGTTATTTGCGATTGTGCTTTAGGGATACTATGTCAGTGGATATACAAAATAAAATGAGGACTATTCGTGCATTACACAAAATTAAAAAGTTCTGATTCATGTATCATGTTTTTGTTCCATATTTTTTACTCACTTTGTCATGGCATATCGTGGTGTAAAAACTTTTTTTAAATGGTCAAAAGGTAGACAAATATGATGCCATGGAAAAAGCTCCAATAATATAGAAGTATCATAAGATAAGTGCTATAAGTACTAATTACTAAGATGTTGTAATGATATATTATAGTTAGATTATAGTTTTTAACGAAACTGATATTTTCAATCAACCTAAAGCTGGTGTCGTATTACTATAAAAACAAGTAGTATATAGAAATTCAATCGAAATATTTCACAGCAACATATTAAATCATTCTCATTTTGCACTAATGTTGTATAACGAAGCTACTGTCTTGGTCTTATGTAACAATTGTTTCGACTTCATCCGGAAGTCTGCATAATAGAATTCTTCCTAAAACATATAGTTAGAAAATATTAAAACTAATTTAGGGAACTTTGAATAAAACGCAACAGAATAGCATGTACCCGCAAAAAGACAAATTGCCCGGGACAAATAAAGCGCACATGTGAAATATTGAATTAAATTAACCTACACTTCTGCAGTTTTATCAGTGTCCTGTCTCTGCCTTTGAAAGCGTACACCGCATCGCGACAAAAAGACAACAAACACTTGGAGCGACAGCGACTCGTGTCGCAATTAATATACGTCCGTCGCGCACGACTAATTAGTCGCAGTCGCATCCAGACGAAATAAGTAATTCATGACTCTGCGATTGATCGTCCTAATAATTCACAACATCACGATCATATCCAATATCAATTATAAGTGATAGATAATGTATTAGAATGTTGCAATTATCTTTAGTAATAACTATCACAAGTAATACATTATTCAAAATTGAAAATTCGTTTTTTCATGTAGGACTATTTAGCCGCTTACGAAAGGCAAATATTTTTCATATTCAACTTTTTCACTACTATTCAGTTTAGTGTAGAGAAGAACTGTCAAGACACATAACTGAACTTCTTTTTCTAAAGCCAGTTTTATTTTAATTGCTTCATTTTACGTCTTATGTTAAATGAAAACGTGATTTACATCTAACATTAAATGAAAATCCTGAACACGATTAAATATTTCCATGCAAGTTTGTTATTCAAGTATTAGAATGTACACATACATAAAACATTATATTGAGAATGTGTTAGGATTTCTGATTAGAGATCAGAAAAAGAGTCTTTGTATTATCAAGTCTTTCTACAGACGGTGTATGATGATATAAAAAAGATTTGTGATCTTCTGATCTGATTTGAAATAATCAACCGTTGAATACTGATAATTATATAAATTAACTAGTTTTTGCTCGCGGCTTCGCTCGCTTTTATTTATACCCTTAGGGGTGGACTGAATTTATTAAATTCCTTTTTAGGGGATGCCTACGTCATAGTAGCTTTATGCATGCAAATCTCAGCCCGATCGGTTTAAAATTGACAAAGTTTCATACAAATTTTCATCCGCTATTTTATCCCCTTGGGGGTAGAATTAGTCAAATCCTTTCTTAGCGGATGCCTATGTCATAACATCTACCTGCATGCCAAATTTCAGACCGATCCATCCAGTGCTTTGGGCTGTGCGTTGATAGATCATTACATCAGTCAGTCACCTTTGAGTTATATATATTTAGATTATTTTTAAACCAAGATCAAAAATGAATACTACTGACTAGTAAGTTTGCTTTCGAATATTTTTTATGATAATAATTAATAGGGATAAAGGTACTCTATCCAGCGCCCAGGAACTTGCTGCAAGTTTGCATGTGTCATATTACAAACAGTCACAACACCATATGTCGACGTGACTCATTCCAAGAAGTCGTATTCGTTACTTTTGTTGCTTCTAAATCATTGAATTCTACACTTTCAATACATGTATTATAAGATTTAAAATTAAAGGCATTAATTACGAAAATATTTGTAAATTTTTTTGGTACATCCAAAGATTGGTATTAACAAACATATCTAATTTATGAATGCTTTAAATTGTAATTTATTACGCAATGGACATGTGTTTCAGAGTTTCAAACAGTGTTTTCTTTGTTTACATTCGTGGTTTTATATAGAGATATGAATTTATTGTAATCACTGTTTAATTAACTATTAATATTGTTAATGATTGTTAAGTATAATAATTAATATTTAATGACAATTAATTGGAATTAATGATTATAGGTTTACGATAGATAAATATTACATCTATTTATTTTTTATTGACATTAATTTAGTCTTAAAATTCTTGTGTCATATTTTTGCTATATAGGCAGTCCTCGACTTACCTCGTTTCGATTTACGTCGTTTCGAGTTATGGCGAACAATGTTTTGACACTATTCCTCAAGCATACGCCAATTGTTTCGATTTCCGGCATAGAAGATACGTTTATATTTGTATGATAGAAATGTTACGTAAATATTTGCTATCTCGCTTTGAGATTTATGGATTTTTGAGTTTGTATTCGTTGCATAGTGTCATAGCAAGCGACAGTTTGTGTTGGTACTCTACATTTGAAAACCAACAAACCAAAATATTATACTACAGATAACACGAACATCATAGTATAATTTATGAATGTTGCTGGCTGCTTAATTATTGTTACTTTTTAGGTATTAAGTTTTGATATTTCATCTTTTATTGTTTTTTTTTTATTGTTCTGTTATGATGTACTAAATTTTGGAAGTACAGGATTCCAAGATATTTTTGATTCTTGTTCTTATTGTAATTAAACTTGCTCCAATCACAGTGATATCTGTGTGTATGTGTATGATGTGTATAGGCGACGGTAACCACTTTCCATCATATAAATCAGTTCAATCATTCATCAGTTTATTTGCAATATAAGTTTCGAGGGGAAGGATTTGTTAGTAATACCATTGGTGCCATTGCTATAATGTTATGTGTCAGGTTGACCTCCACGAGGTTTCCTGGTAACCATTGTGGGTGATTACATCACAATAGACTGCTGATTATCCTATCATCCCTCACTGGTGTCTCGCAAGAGTATACCATTCCATCATCATCCATAATAATATATAAGTTTACTTACTTGCAAACTAGCCCGTGATATCAGCAAATTCCCTTCCGGCGATATTAAAACATTATGATCTTGCTGTAACGGGGCTCCTTGCTTCAGCCAGGATATTCTAGGGACCGGTGCAGCGGCAGGAGGGGTGCAGCGAAGCGAAGCGGCGGATCCAACTTCTACAGAAATCGACGAGGGGGATGCCAGAAATTGCTTCTTGAGATCTGAAAGAAAAGTGACTAGTGAGTAAAATTTAAAATAATAAGATTTATAGAGAGATTACATGTTTGGCGTGGTTCCCCGCCTGCAATACCATCGTGTTAAATTCACGATCATCTTCATCATTCATATTCATCTTATGATCCTCCTCCTCCTCCCTGGTGCCCTTCCGTTAGCGCAGGCGGGTGCACCATTCCATTATTGTATATTAAAAAAGATCTAGTATGAATTGTGAAGATATATAGTAAAGCTAGCATAGTGAACAGTGCTAGCAAGCATTTATTAAATAAAACTAGCAAATTATAAACATTTTGTAATCATGACTATGTCTTGCTTTGCATTGTCTTGTTTATTTGTTTATTATACACTATGTATCTGCGATGTATGTATCTATAATTTGTTTGGTATCCTATTCTATGCACAGTTTGGGATTAAATGATATAGGACCACGATTATTTACTTAATATACCAACTATATCGTAATGTATCGTGTTTCTGAAGTACCCACATAAAATGAGGGTAAAGTAAGCCTATCTGTTAAGCTCAGGTATTATCAAGGACGAAGCCTTGTTACTGTCTCCGAGGGTTATAACTATGCCAGTATAATTTGATGCTGTGATCTTATTACACGCGAGAGTGTAATATATTTTGATGTTAGAAGAAAATTAAATGTTTGGGGAGTTAGGAATTTCTGGATCAATTGTGTAATTGGGTGAGTTATGAAAGTGGATGAAATAAGAATATTAAAAGTAAAGGCTCAAGCCTTGTTTCATCTTCAATCAATCAATTGATTGAAGATGACTCATTAATTACGTATAAATAAGATTTGATTTCCTGTAAACCCCAATGTTTAAAAATATTTAGTTATTAAATAAACTTCATAAATATATTTGTTTCAATCTACTTATGGCCCATATACCTTCTTAAATACCATGTAGACCAATATTAATGTGAAATAATATAAAATAAATTAAGATTATATTTAATATTTAATTAAGCATCACTCTTCATTTAATAGTCCCACCAATCTACAATACATTAATTTTGATAATTCATTTCACAATGAGAATTTTTTCCATTCAATTATCCCGGCCATGCTGCATAAAAACGCCCTCGTAGAAATTTGAGAATAGCTGTACAATGGCGGACCAAATATTTACAAATGTCTTCGATAACTTACTCAGTAATAGTAACTACCCTTCGATTTCGGTAAAAAAAATATATTTATATATCTTATTTCGTCTCTATGACATTGAAAGTGTTATGTTTGGTTTACTGCCTAAACATGCCGCCTTATATATAGGCTTCGGTGGTCTAGCGACTTAGCACACAGCCTTTCTTTCCGATTGTAACGTGTTCAATTCTTCATAACAATATTTGTTATCATGAGTTGATTTGGTATGATTGTATTGCTTGCTTGTATCGGTCTGGGTATTTTCTAAGTATAATATATATATATATATATATATTTAAGTATATCTGTATTTTTGTATCAGTTGTTCTAGTACTCCTAACATAAGCTAGCTTAGCTTGGGACTAGATACTGCTGTGTGAATTGTTCTGAGATATTTATTCTTTTCTGGACTTATATTTCAGATTATTATAATCTTTTACATAAAATTCTCGTGTCACAGTTTTCGTTCCCATACTCCTCCGAAACGGTTTGACCGATTATCATGAAATTTTGTGAGCGTATTGAGTAGGTCTGAGAATCGGCCAACATCTATTTTTCATCCCCCTAAATGTTAGGGGTAGTATAATTTTTTATTTTATAAGGCAAAACAATAAAGTATTATATAAATTTATATAATGGCCTAATTTAAATAATGACCTACATAATAATAACAACTCTCACATAATAAACCAATTTAACTGGCTAGCTTTTTCATACCATGTTAGATTCAGATATTCTCACGGCAATATCCAGTATTCCATTTACCCCATCTGAGTTTACAGTCGCGTGTATATATATGTATGTGTGGGCCTGTACGATAATAAAACCCACATATATATCAGAATAAGTTATGAAAAGAGCATGTCAATAACTATTAACTGATCCCGTCTACGAAATGGAAGGTCGTGAACTAATTCGATAATTGTTCTATCAATTTTGTTTTGCGCAACGCATGCGATTGGTGCAAGTCAGAAGCTGATAACTGGTTTATCTATATTAATAGTATAAATATTGTGGATCTTATAATATTATAATTTTTATTTAATTTAATATTACAAATATTAAGTTGTCAGAATATTGTAGTAACATTATAATTATATATTTATTGTGGATTCTATAATGTGATAATAATTTTATTTGAGGCAACTTCATATAATGACTATATTAGAAAGAAAGAGAGAGGCAGAATTAACTCCGGAATCATTGCATTGATTTGAGAACTTTTGTTACTGTTTGAAATCAAATCGAATCATTGTCCTAGTTATAGTTATTTATTTATTTTTTATCCTAGTGTTGACACTGGGACAAAAAATAAATAAATAACCCAGGACAATTAACACAGCGCTATCTAGTACCACGGTAAGCAGAGCTTGTATTATGGGTACTAGACAACTGATATAAATACATAGATTTTGGTTTTGTAAATACATACATAATATACATAAAAACTATCCAGACCCATATAAACAATCTTACTCATGAATACAAATGTTTGCACCGTACGAGAAAACGAACCTACGACCGAAGTAAAGTGTGTGCTAAACCACTAGACCACCGAAGCCGTCTATATAATGTTATGTATATATAAAAATATATTTTATGTACAACCTGGAGGTAAACTGGTTGGTATTATTACAACTGTTAGCCCTGTTTAAAGTTAAAATAATATATTTGTCTAACGAACAAGACAACTAAGACATAAGTTAAATATTGGTCACAATTTAAAAATTAAACATTGACTTCGAAAAGCAAGCAATTAACCCGTTATACCAATACCGCTTTATGTTGTAAAGATTTACTTTGTAATAAGTAGGTATTATGTATAAAAATATCTCCAAATGAAACATATATTTTTTTTTAAGATAGAAAATCATCATCATTACATAGTATAAAGTCGCTGTCGCTGTCTGTCCGTCCCTATGTATGCTTAAATCTTTAAAACAACGCAACGGATTTTGTTTTTTTAATAGATAGAGTGATTCACGAGGAAGGTACATATACAATATATACCTACAATAGATATAGAATAGAGAATAGAATACAATAGAAAAATAACATTTTTCAATGTGATCTTCAACGTATTAACTGCAAAGTTTTTATAATTTATTAATAGAATTTTTGATAGCTATCAGTTTATGAATTAGATCACCGCCCGACTCTGTCTTCTCACATCAATCCTAATAAAAAAATAACAAGATCATCGATTATACAATTTGGGATCGCGACAATTTATACAACAAACTGTAATTGTTATTCATTAAACAATTTAACAATGTACCAACACAACAAAAGTGTAGGCACTGAATTGTTACGTTGTAACTTGTATACGTATACACGGACGAAGTCGCGGGTACAGCTAGTTTATCAATACATTTCGGGCATAGCTATACATAGCTATAGATTAACAATTTTTTAAATTATAGCTTTTGTGTTATTCCGACGTATAAGCAATGTTATTGCAAATCATCAAAACCTGTTTAGTAGTTTTTGCGTGAAAGATCCATCTCTACTCACAAATTTTACTAACTTATAATATTAGTAAGATTTTTATGTATAATTATTTTTAAACTTTCGTGTTTAATATACATTATTTAAATTATTAACCGGGTTTTAACACGCTATCACCTGTCTAGAATGACATGGCTGTTGCTCCAGTCAGCTCGTGACCACGGCTAGTGCAACCTAGTCGAAACGTCGAGAGAGGTAAATACCTTTATTTGCCATAAAATTATTCCTGTTATGACCCGGTTAATAATTTATTTTTTTATGTGTAGGTACATATTACATATTGGTTACACTTTACATATAATAAAATCGTTACATGACGATAATTGTCTCTTTTTCTCTATGTGTAAAAGTTATTATTGGTATTTTATAGAGGTTTATTTGACAGATGACATATGTACACGCGTACATATTCGCTGGCACCACAATTTTTGTTATAAACTAACTTTTATTTACCGAAAGAAATAATAAATAATATTTTGCAAATAGAAAATTATTTTCACAGACAGAAAGGCTTTGAGAGACTACCAGCTCTACGAGACTGGTACAGACGAAGCTGTAGAAATAAATAACTGAGTTTTCAGTAAAAATAATAGTGTAAACGTTTCCACTCATTGCTTTGAATGGAGTGCATCCATAAATCTAGTGCTCGCTTCATTACACGGCGACGTTTTGAATGGGCTTGTATTCGCTCTGCTGGGTGTATGCAACATCTTAGAATATTAAAATACATATATAGTAACAATAATAATAAGCCTGGACAATTCACATAGCGCCATCTAGTCCCAAACTTAGCGTAACTTGTGTTATGGGTACTAAACAACTGAGATACACAGCTACGTTTTTTTAAATATATACATAGAAAAAACCAGGATAAATTCTTTGTGAATTTGTGACGATGAGCTGATTTCTGTTACTAAATGCCATAATGTAAATGCCAATAGAAAATATCTAAATAAAAAGGCGATAAAATAAAATATCAGATTACTTGGCATTTCATCAGTTTATGGCAAAAAAGCTAACGTGTAATAGTGACAAAAAATGTCATATAACAAACCAATTTACGTTTGTTGTGTGACAAAAAATGACATATTATTTTTTGTTTATGACAAGTTTATTTTGATTAACGTTTATTTCTATTTATTTTTCTACAAAAGTGGTTTCAAATGAAGATATTTCTTCTGAAGTGACGCGAGGCTGAATACAACGAAGAGAAATCAATTTAAAAAAAACGAATGTTACAAAATGATGCCAGTAACAATATACTTACTTACTAATATTATAAATGCGAAAGTAAGTCTGTCTGTCTCGCTTTTATGCCAAAAC